GTCTCCCCCCCCGGCCGGAGCCCCTCCGCGGCTTGGAAAGCCTCGGGGGAAGCCGGCGGGGGGGCATCCCAGGCGCTCCTGGCGGCTTTGCTCCCGGTGCCTCTGGTCTGCTGGGGACCATCTCCAGCAGACCAGGGACACCGGGAGCAAAGGAGGCGGAGGGGCGCTGGGGTATAAGATGAAACCCTATCTTTTAATTAAAAAGATAGGGGGTCGTCTTATACACCCAGTCGCCCTATACGCCGGAAAATACGGTAAGTACAATATTTATGTTCCAGTTTATTTATTTTATATTTCTGTAGTAAAACTGAACAATTCAGCTGTTTTTCAATATTAATATTAGGGATCAACTTGTAGTCAACTCTTGTCGTCTATACGCACTCCCCTCTCGCACCCGCTCCAGTAGCGTGGAAGGTGAGAGTTGCAGGGTGCATGCTAGAGCTGATACTTGCAGGAAACAGCTTTCAAGCAGTCTCCTCGCACGTGCTGGCTCCATGGACCCACCTGCCCCCCACACTTGTCGCCTCCTACAGAGACAGCGATGTGGGGCAGGCAGGTGCTGGGGGTAGCTGGCTTAAAAGCTGGTTCCCCCCCAGCACCAGGTCTGTGGTGCCGCCTGCCCCCCCTCCCCAAGCAGTGCAGGCGGGGGGAGGGGAGGAGGAGGGCGGCGGCGGCTTCTGTCCCTGGGAGAGGGTCCGAGCTCCCCGCGGACAGAGGCTGCACCAGTATCCCACAGAGCAGTCTCTGTCTGCGGTGAGCCTGGGCCCACCATGGACAGAGGCTGATCTATGGAAGCAGCCCCTATCTGGGGGGAATGGGGGAGAGTCTGAGCCCCTCCAATCTGCACAGGGGTGTTGGGAGGCTCCCTGGAAGTGGGGCTGGGAGCGCACTGGTTGCTGGACCCTCCCTGGGGACTATCAAATAGTCACATTACTAAGTTACACAACTATTCGATTACACGGTATCTAACATCCCTAACAAATAAGCTGAGAGACTTTTTTTTTGTTTTTTTTAGGTCTGATTTTGTAAGCTGATTTTAAGTGAGGTGAAACTTGAGGGTATGCAAGAGAAATCAAACTCTGAAAGGGATATGTTAGTCTGGAAATGTTGAGAACCACTGAGTTACACTCTGGAGGAGCCAAGGGATTACTTAACTAATTCATGTGCATGCTACAAACTGCTGCCTTTTCACGAGGGTTTCCCACAAGTTCCGGCATTTTGACTCTCAAATGGTAGTAACACACCTCTTGTCCTAGAGAAGAACAGCTATAGGTTCCAGGTGAGCAGATCCTCATGCTGGAGTAGAGCCATAGTTTGTGAAGATTTTTAGTGATTCATGGTTAGCATGACTTCTTTTGTAAGCTCATGGTTTAATCGCTATCTCGTGTGTATTAAAATCTAGTTCTGTGTAGGAAAGGAGACAGGGATGTGGATTTTTTTATTCCATCAAGCATTTTATCTCAATACAAGTCTTTCATATTTCTGCAAACTACTTGTGTAGTATTTCATTGCTTTTGAATATTACTAATAAAAATATGAATCAATTTTTCAAATATATGCAGTATGATTACAACATTTGTTGTACCATTACTATCCATCTCTCTTATTTTATAATATATTACCTAAACATGGCTTAAGCAATTATTTGGAGAAAATATTTGTATTGTCTGCTGTTGATTTAGATCCCTATCTTGCAATTAGTCACACTCAAGCTTAACTTGAAGCATGGGACTAGTGCCATTGAAATCAATCAGATCACTCATGTGTAAAGGTAAGCACATGAATAGTTGACTGCAGGATTGGGTGTTAGATGTCCAGTTCCAAACCAGTACAAATTTATAAACCAAGGTTTTGAGCCCAGATTTACAGAGTTTTATTACACAGCAATTAACATTCTGAGTATCTAAGAATTTACATCTCCTAGCATAACTTTGTCCTGTATTCTTTATTTTACTCGCTAGTCACAATCAGGCAAGATTGGTAGGCAATTGCCAGATCCCACGGGCATAGTATTTTTTAAACAACTGAAAGTAAATTTGCTAAATTATCCATACTTTTTCATGAGTAGGCATTGCTTTCAGCCCAGAATCCATGAAGAAGCCTCCATATACTCAGGCATGTTAGGGCTAAAATCTTCTGGACTTACTTGTTAGGGAGTCTCAGTAAATATTACCATTTTAAAGGAGCCAAATCCATTTTATTAAATGGTCTGTTTTTAAGCAATTGCAGTACTTTATTTTATTTGATGAGAATATTTTACAGTGTTATCAGGAGGATCCAGTCCTGACTGGAGGGGGGTGGGATTAGAGAGTGGGACCACATGTAAGAATGAAATTGTACTGATGTCTATGAGAGTCATTCAGCCACTGGTGTATTTGTTGACACTCCCAACAAAGTTTTTTGCAGTTTTAAATTAACGATTTAAATAAATAGATCAGGTATTGTAGGTGGCTATTGGACATTTGCCTTAAAAATATCTACAAAATGGAATGGTTAAAAAGAACAGGAGCTTATTTTTCTTGAAATACATATACATAAACATGAAAGGAAGTGAATTATCATCAGCCAGTCATATAAGAGAAGCATTTTTCATACACACTTTAAATTCTTCTATTCTTTTGGAAGCAGAGCCTTGCTATCTTTGAAAACTGTGAATGGTACACAAGAGGTTAAACCCATTCTAATATATGTGGGTGTGTACCTGCAATTACACACATCTTTGGTGTGGCATGCATGTACATGGACAGGATTTCAACAACTGAAGCTTAGTTCCAGTTTATTTTTTTTCCAATACAAAGTAGCAGCCTGAATAAACATTAGGAGACAAATTGCTGAGGAAGGAATAACTTGTATCAAAGTGGATTTTTTTTTAAAAATCTTTGTTTTGGCCAACGTCTTTCAATACAAAGCACCTTCTGCCATATAGACTGATGACAACTGTTTAGTAATAACTTCCATGGTATGCTCAGATAAGCTAGGATATTGCCAAGAACAAGAGCCTGGTGAAGAGGAAATAAAGGGATCGGGCAAGAGAGCTAGTAGACCTGGCTCAGAGCCTGTGCTTAGAATATCTTACGGTTTTCTTGGGTTCCTTTTTCTCTTGCTCAGATACAGAGCATGAAGGCTTTGTGGCTATGCTGTGCTTCCTCATTGCACAGTTTTTCCCAATTAAATGACATGGCTAATGTGTTGCGAGAACAGGGCTGTCACCTCTTCCTGACCTCCTAATGTCCTACCCTCAGAGAATGGCAGGCAATATGACAGTGCTATTTCCAGGTAACCAGTTTGGATATGCTGTTTGAAGGTAATGTGGCTAATCTTAACTCTGCCCCATTTCCTCAACCTCCCTCCCCCCCAATACTATAGATGACACCCTTTCATCTGCATAACTCCATATCATCTGCACTGGCAGTATGAGCCCCATATTGCTACTATATTGTCTGATGGCATATATACTATAGTGAATTTGCCATCTACATGTAGATGACACAGGAAGAAAGGTGAGAGAGAACATTGTAGGCTAGGTGTATGAAATCTCCGATTCTGAAATGTGGACATAGAAGAACACTTAGCAACTTCTGAGAGTACAAACCATTTTTAGGGTTTTGTAGAAATTTAAAAAATTAATAGTATTTGATGTGCCAACTGTGCTCTTAGCTTGAGGTTGAGAAGTGGTGCAAGTGTTGAAGAAGGCTAAGCTTACTTGCAAAACCAGCCATTCAGGGCTTTGCAAAAATAGTTTTAAAAAAATGAGAAGATTGCGAAAGTGTGGGCAGGTCCTCTGTTGGAGAAGGTGAATGAGAATCCAGAACCACTATGTTAAACTTGGCCATCATGATGGGGGAAACATTGCTGGTTATAATGGATTGCAATTTAGCCTTTCTGCACAAGTGATTGTTGTTCATTAATGGCCTCTTTACTTAAAACTGACATTGCAATACTGAATGTTCACTGCACATTCAACTTGGCTTTGTTCAGATGATCAGTATAAAAAATGTACGGTTGTTTACGTTTTCCAGGCATAAATCACTCAACACTTGGCAGTAATCCTGGGTGTATGTTCTCTTATTGCAACTGCAAAAGGTATGTAATGCTTGTGAAAGTGTTACATGAAAAACTCATGTTTCGGTTTTGGTTAAGCTGAAGACTGTAAACTTTAATAAACAGAAGCAAGCTGGCAAAATGCAGGCTCATGCCTGCAGCCTTTTAGGTTTCTTGTCGCTCAATACTCATCTGCTTGTGCAAGCAGAACTCCATCCTCCTACCGCCCTGCGCAGAGAGAAGGAGCAGCCCAGTGGACTAGGTGGTTAGAGCTCTTTACGTTGTAACCCTTTGCTCTAAGTATGCAGGAGCAAGCATTCGGCAGGCTGCTTTCTGCAGCCGAGGAGACAACATTCATAGACTTCCTTTGATTAGGATATGTCACTGTTGTCAGGGCAACTGTTAACGGTGGCGTATCGTATTTTTTCCTCCTGTGTTGCGTGCTGAATATTTTAGTGTGCTGTAGCTGGAAGAAGCTTGGGGAAGAGGTGCTGCTGCAGAACCGGGAAGCTGTGGGCTGGGATCTGATTGAACAGGTTAAAACAGCGAAGAGAGGCATCCAAACCAATGTGCCTTTAATTAGGGCTTTTCTTGAAGGTGGATGAAACTGTAGCCTCTCAGCTGCCAAGTGGATGTTGGTATTTGTCAGCTCTTTGCCTACTGCTTACCCATAGGGGATCTATTACAAGTGCTCAAATGAGAAGGCAGGTCTGCAGCTAGCTGCTACACAGGCACTGCAGTTTCTTAAATATATATATATATAGTAATCAGTAGCAGCAATATGCCTGGTGCAGCTACTGTTATCCGACAAGAGAGATTGAAGAAGACAAATACAAGGACAAATCCTCCTGGTTTATTCACCATTAATGAAGAAGATGAGCAGCAGAAGAATGGGAATTTCAAAAGACTGAAAGGTATATCTTAGTGTTCTCTGTAGTACATACTGCGTAGCATACAGTACATTCTACTCCTGACGGCATGCAGTACAGCTAGTAATTGTGCCCTATTGGTGCAGTTTTTCAATGGATGTTTTCATACTATATTCATTTTTGCACACTCTAAATGGTAGATATATTTTCAGTCAACTGGATTACTGACCTATTAATTTAATTGCTACTTCTGTTTTAAAATCTTATTTACCAAAAACGTGACTTTTTAACAAAGTTATTACTAATCCCATTATCAGCTAGAGATTAGAGTTTCATTATAAAGGTGTACCATGAATTGCATTGTACCTTCCCTATAAAGACTCCTAGATTCTCTCCACCCTTCTTCCCCCCCCCCCCCCCTCCCCCCCCCCCCGGTGTTCATATTCTGATGAGGTGAATGTCTTTTAAAAATAGTTTGTTGTAGGTTTGCAGAATGAGTGAAGCTACAGCAGCCGATGTGGAAGGCAGCCTAGTTTTTGTACAGGATATGGAATGCCTGATGACAGAGGGCAGAAAATTTTTTTTGAATACTGTAACTTTGATTAGTCTATGAGCAAAAATGTGACGCTTCCCATCAAGCTAAATTGGTGAGAACAAAGTCCTTGGTGGGTTTTTTTTTTTAATAGTACAGTAGTTGATTGTAATAGAGATCTATCAAACGTATCCCGCATAATGTAATATCGTCAGCCAGGACTCCTAAGGTTTAAATTCTCTTGGTATGACTACAATCCTGCGTCTTTGAATCAAACTGGAATTTTAAATTTGTGCTGTCACTATTCTAATTCTCTCTGCCTGCTCAAGGGATTCCCTCAATACATGAAACTTCCTTTTCTCTTATTCAGGAAACAAAACAATTAGGAGCCGGAGTTTGTTTTGTTTTGGGTTTGCTTTCTTTGTTACCAAACAAATCTTGCTTGATAAATATCAGTCACCTGTAACTTGAGGGTATCAGGTTTTGAAAAGGAGAGCCTCACAGGCAAATATTTAAATATCAGAATAGGTTACCTTGTTTGGGGCTGACAATTATTTTCTTGTTTTTGAATGAATAGCTATCTGGCTTTTTTAAAAGTCCCATGTTTTTAACTCCTTTGTATTCTAGTTTACCTTCTTCAAGAAAAAATATAAAGACCTCACACAGATCTGAGCTTCAACTACAGTAATCAATGCTAGCACAGCTGTCAAGGCCTTATGTATATAGCTACTTGCTCTACTGTTTGTACAAACCCATATATATTCCAGAGAGGAAAACTTTTTAGTACTTTAAGAAGCCAGTTATGTCTTATACCCATTGGGAGAGTTTCAGAAGCAATAGGACACAAGGCTCTGTATAACTGCTTCCCTGTTGGTTTGGTGTGTTTGAATAGCACTTTCCAGTTTTTCAAGCTACAGGTTCTTGTCATCTTGTTTGTGTTGGGGGAGAAGTGTGTTGGGAGATAAAGCATTTATATACAATTTAATTCTATACCCTTTTTTGGATGGGTTCAGGATTGGTACTTTTTTTTCATTTTCCCCTTCTTTTGCTTTCTCATTCTCCTCTTATCCTCCCTCTCCTTTGTTATTTCTCTGAGTGGGGTGGAAAAGTGCTCCTTTCATATCTGTGTCGTTTTGTATCAGCCAGTCGAGTGGGGCAGAAGGATATTGCAATAGGAAAGTTCCCACTTCCCAACTTGCTGGAGTAAAAACCCTATTGGAGTCTCCATCTAAAGTGGGGTCTATTATATCCCAGTTCTGAGTTAAGTAAAACGTAAACAATTGTGGGGGGAGAGGAGAGAAACAGACAAGAACATGTGATCCTGCTGCAGTTTTGGCAAGTTACCTGTGAATTTGTTCAGATGCATTGGTAAATGGTGCGTGATATATCAGAGATTGTTAAAAATATTTTGAAAGAGTAGCTCTTTCTAATTGTTTCTCTGAAGACATGAAATGGCTTTTCCCGTTTCTACAGGAGTTTATAACTCTTGTGTTTGGGAGAGGGAGGAGTTGGTGTCTGAACATTCTCTTCACCTGCCTGGTACCACACAAGGCTGTGTCAAAGTGGTTCTGTGCTCACTGAAGCAGAGGCAAAAGGCACTTGATCAGTCCAGGTGTGACTTCTTCCAATTTTCTGTTGCCCGTTAATTCTCTGGCACCATTCTCTGAGTGCAGCTTAATCCCAGTTCTCTCTCTGTTTCATCAACTATATGCTCAGCTTGCTGTGCAGCTGCTGAGATGCTTTTCCAAAACATAGTAGGTTAGTATCATCATCTTAATGCAGGAGTGGGAAACCTAAGGCTCGGGGACTAGATACAGCCCCTGGCTTGTATGGATCTGGCCCCTGAGGCTTGGGGCTTCCCCCTCCCACTATTGGGGAGCTCACACTGGTGAGGGATGGGTTTTTTTGTTTCTTACTTGTGTGCAGCCCCCAACTGATTTTTTTTTTTCAGTGGGTCAGTGACCCCAACCCAAAAAAGGTTCCCCACACTTGTCTTAATGTGAGATGTGCAAAATAATCTAATAGGTTCTTTCTATCTCTAATTTCTGTGATCTGGGATGGAGATCTCCTGTACTGTACTTCCCAGCCCAGGAGGTCACTCCCATGGACCTGGTTTTTTTTAGAAAGTAATATGTTTAAAAACTCAGCAGGGTAAACAATGGGTTTTGTAGTATATTTTTAAAATACTTTTGTGTACTGGGCAGGACTCCAATAATATTTGGATTTATTTAGAATATGAGGCTTTCAATGGGTTGACTTCAAAGGTAACTACTGTATTTCCTTTCACTCGTGTCCTTGAGTGTCTGTCCTTATTGTAATTTGAGAAGAGGTCTGAGAGATCTTGAGTTTGCTCTTTCAGAGCAAACAGTCACATTGAAAATGGTTTGCATGCATTTTTTAAAATCAAAGGTATGCTGGAAACATGCAACGGTCCATCCAGTTCAATGTTTCTGCTCTTATATTGCATTTAATCTGAATCTCTCTTTTTTTTTTAATTTTACCCTTTAATGCCCTCCTCTAGAAATAAATGTAGGAATCTCTTTTTTAGGAAAAAGAGAAGGTGGCAGTGATTGACTGCTGGGTGACTGGTGTTGGCTACTATTTTTCTCTGCCCTTCTCATCCTGTCAGATAGCTAACTGCTGGTTAGAAGGGCGAGCAAAGGTATGTCCCCTGGTCCCTCATTGATGATTTCCTGTGTGTGGTATGTTCTGTGTTTCTGAAGACTGTAATAACCTTGGCTGGATAATCTTCTGCAATTTTTTGCCAGTCACCTCCCCTTTCTTTAATCTACTTGTTGTTGATGTTCTTAATGACTAGTTAATGATCCAGCTCTTTATAATATGCTCCTTGGAAGCCCTGAATGTTGTGTTTTTCACAGGAGAGTCTCATGTCAGGAAGTATGAGTATCACCCCAGAACCATTCAGACACAGCTTTCCCTTCTTTCTTTTTCCTTTTTTTCTGATGGACTTTGACTGTTTCTTTTGTCTGAAGTTTTCTGTATTTGTATCCAGGCTATTAGTTAAAACACACCTAGTTGTAGTAAGATATAAAAACCAAAACACAAGTGAACTCAAATGCATGTCTAATGGGGAAGTAATTTTTATTTTAAACTCTGAATTTTCACTTTGAAATAAAATGTACACAAAAGCAATATAAAGCAAATTCTAGATCATCTCATCTGAAGAAATGGGTTTTGCCCACGAAAGCTCATGGTAGTATAGACATATATATTTGTTCGTTTCTAAGCCACAGGACTAGTTACAGACTAACACATCTACCCCCTGAGACTTTTGAATGTATTCATTTTTAAAGAGAAGTCTGTACTTAAATACTATATCTGAAAGAAAAGTTTTTAACAATCGTTTTGTTGTAGTGGCCCTGGTATCCAGGTTTTGTGAAGCTAGCTAATTAGCTAGGAGTTTCCCAGGTGATAAATCTGAGGCACTATTTATTTCAAAGTTATAGTCTGAACTTGAATTGATGTCCGCTTCCCATTGGGATCACCACACATCTTAAATTGGAACCATTGTTTCTTCTTTCTGCTAAGTAGCCTTAGAAAATGGTGAACATTAGGCAAGATGAGTCCTATATGCCTCCTGAAGTATCTCTTTTGACCTGGTTTTTAATTTATTACTTAACTTCACAAATTGCATAGCCATTTCTTGGGATAGAACAAAAGGGTTTTATGCTACAATAGTCATGTTAATTTTATTTCAAAAACAGTATTTTTGTTGGAAGAGCTGATTGTCAATGTCTGGATTCACTTTAGAATGAAGTCCTGGGATCATCAGAATTGTGCAACTTTATTTTGTATTTCTGAAACATTGAAGTGAGCTCATATGTAGTGAGCTCAGCATCCATACAGCTAGAGTTTTTGGAAGTTTGCTTAATCCGGGAATCCATACTTCTAAACCAGACTTGTGGAAATGTGTGTTGTGTGGCATTTGTATCAGACATATAATTAGGGTTGCCAGGTGTCCGGTATTGAACCGGACAGCCCAGTATTTCTGTCTTCCATCCGGTTAAAAAAAATTCCGAAAATACCAGGCATTTTAAATGTTTGTTTTCTGTTTTTCCTGAGGCCCAGCTTAGGCGCCCAATGGAAGGCCGCGTGGGACACGTGGCGCAGCTCGTGCTGGCTGGGGCAGAGGGAGGGGAAGAGTGGGAATTAAAGGGGCTGTGACTGCATTTTGGCTCTGACCCTCCCCCCCTTTTTTATTTTGCTCAACATAAATTTTTTCTGGCTTTGGGGGGGCGGGGACTGTTGTTTTTTGTGAAACCATCTTGGAACCCTAGGCATATTGTGTATACTTGCAGCAATGTGTGAAGTACTGACACTGTGTATCCAGCTACCACAGGTATAAAGAGCATTGTAGATGGTGAGGCTATGTGTAGGGGTGTTGAGTAGAGGTGCACCTGAATCCTATGTACATTACACAGCTCTCTGTGCCTCAAGCAGTGCTTCCCACATCTACACTGCTGTTTTTAGCAGTGTAATATCTTGCTGGCAG